AAAGAAAAAGACGAAGGTCAAGAAGCACAGTATGTCGAGATATGGAGACAGACATGAGAAGAATGAACAAAAATTGAACAGAACTAGAAAGGGAACCCCAGGACAGAGTGGATTAGTCACCGCCTTATGCTCCATTGGGGGTAACAGACGTAAGTAAGTAACTAAGTAAGTAAGTTTATGGTATACGCTAAAAAATGTATAAGTTCACAAAGATTTCAGTGCATAGCCAACCAAAATTAAAATAATTGTTTTTCACTCAATAAAGATACCCAGAAAAATCCTATGAAATTCAAATAAATCTTAAAATTGGTTATCTCGGAGAAACGCATTCATGATAAATGAAACTCTTATGCAAACAATTAAATCTCTTTTTTTTTCAATTGTATTTTTAAATAAAAATCAAATTGACTATTGAATAGTGATCGTATTTTGTTTAACTTATTCAAAATACTTAACACTAAATTCAAAAGATTGTATTCACAATAGAAGCATAAATTTCAAACAGAATTTAATTTATTCTAAAGAACGTTCATTCTAATCATTTATTCACATGTCAAATATATATTATAAAGATTAGTTTTATAGTTATAAACTAGTTATGAACTGAAATAGTGAATTAGTGATTCAGCCTAATTCTGGACCGGACAAGATATCACAGCAGATAACCCGTTCACTGATTAGAAATTTCTATGTTATCACACAGATAATAACATAAAATAGAAAGTTAATGGTATTATTATCTCAGACAACTGACTGATTGAATTTTGAAATCAACTACGATTTTTCAGTGTAGAAAATCAATAAATAACATGATCTCTGATCTTGAGAATCTAAGGTTCATTATTCAATTTGGTGTTGTTAAATTCGTCACTAGGCATGCTTGAAGCGATTACAAGTTCACCTTAGTCGATAAACGAGAACGAGATAATGAACCAGAGTCCAGGTAGGCTACCTTGAATCCCAAACTGCAAAAGAGAAGACTTGGTAGGCGTAGAAAGTATATTCTACAAAGACCCAGCAATCACAGTACAATCAAGCACACAAATCTCGTTTATTTATACATCATAGAAACGTCCTTGAGACAAACACAACAAAATAGCACACTAAAATACACAGCAACCAATCAAAGACAAGGATTTTGCTGGTGGGAAATGAAATCTCAAGGTCAACTGATCAGTCCATGCTGGCAAACGTGAAATCCAAAATAAGGCATTTATCAAGCGAGTTCTGAGGATCTAACATTCTCAACAGGTATGTAGTCATTGTATTTTTTGAAATCATGAGTCGATCAATGTTACATCACCATTGAAAATCCGGAAGTACTGGACAACCTCTTCGTCCTGGTTTGGGCATCTACGACTCGAATTCAGAACCCTCAATCTTGCATGTGAAAGCCTAACCTCTGGATCACGGTGTTAATGTCTAACTTCAATCAATCGACAGCGTTGCATAACCACTGTTGTTGGTGAACACTGTATCACACCTGAACAGGGCTAATGTGGTCTAAAAGTGATCGATTCGTGATTTCAAAAAGTAACTCTACAATCTTCACTGGATTATCCAAACTTTGATTATATCCTAAATTTGAAATCATCAATCAATCATTGTTAGACCACCACAATCAGAAACCTGAAAGAAGCACTGGACGGCCGTTTCGTCCTGGTATGGGACTCATCAGTGGCAGTGCGCATCCACGACTCCTGCATCTCGCAGGATTCAAACCTGGGACCTTAGGTATTGTGCGCGAATGCCTAAACATTGGACCACTGGGCCGGCATCTAACGGTGTAGGTAGTAACTACCAAAGACAAATAGGTGAGGTCTTGCAAAATCCCTAGATTAATCAGAGTTAGACATTAACACCGTTGGATGCCGGTCCAGTGGTCCGATGGTTAGGCATTCGCGCACAATATCGAAGGTCCTGGGTTTGAATCCTCCAAGATGCAGGATTCCTGGATGCGCACTGCCGCTGATGAGTTCCATACCAGGACGAAACAGCAGTCCACTGCTTCTTCCAGGTTTCTAAGGGTGGTCTAACAATGACTGATTGATGATTTCAAAAATGTGTAAAAACACTAATCTCCATACCTCTAATTGAAAATAAATCCTAAATCATTACTGAACACTACTTTATTATTGATTGTGCAAACAGAAAAATCAATTATCTTGAGCTATCCTTCTTACAATGTACAAATATATTATAATTCTATTACTATTCATCTTCATCAACAGATATTTATTTATTTAATTAATTGAAAATAAATCAACCTCCTTTTTTTTACTTTTATTCAAAATGTACCTTTCCATTGCTTTGCGCATCAGTAATCAGGCAATAACAATAGTTTATGTTGGAAAAAATGTACAAACACAAATCTAAAAAAATTTAGTTATTTCCTCTTTTTTTTGACTATTGTCATGGAAATTTTCAATTTTCGCGCTCATTCAACAAAAAATCAATAAAATATCCCTCCGGGTTTCTATCGATTAAAACAAAACGCGGCGAAAATACGTGATTTCAAGTAAAAGCGAAATAGCTAGTAGCTAAACCACTTAATAAGAAATACAAACTATCATCAACTGGCCTCTTTAATCAAAATCAGTGTAAAGTGTGTGTTGTTAATCGGTTTCAAAGTGTGTTTCTTTTAATATTAGTTGTTTAATGTTGGGGATGTTAGATCCCCCGGGAAACTCGCTTGATAAATAATGCCTTCATTTTGGTTTTCATGTTTGCCAGCATGGACTGATCAGTTGACCTTGAGATCGCATTTCCCACCAGGAAAATCCATGGCTGTGATTGGTTGCTGTGTATTTTAGTGTGCTATTTTCTTAACTGTCCCAAGGACGTTTTTATGATGTATAAATAAACGAGAGTTGTGTGTTTGATTGTATTGTGTGCTTGTTGGGTGTTTGTAGAATATACTTTCTATTCTTAAAAAGCCTCCTTACTTTACTTTCGGATTCAAGGTAGCCTACCTGGACGCTGGTAAAAGTCTCATTCGCATTTATCGACTAAGGTAAACTCGTAATAGCTTCAAGCATACTTAGTGACGAACCCAATATTTAAAACATACAATCAAAAGGTAGAATTAATAATCAAATACGAGTTTTTAATTAATTAATATTCATAATAAAAATAATGATTCTATTTAATAATTTGACAACTACTCATTAATTATATACACAGTTGTTAATGATCGGAAATCTTACGAATAATTAATGTACCCGTGTGTGTGTGTGTGCGTGTATGTATAAGTGAGCATGAGTTATGTTTTAATGAGGTACGTACCACAATAAAACAGAACATTCTGGAGCGCAATCATTGACAAAAATAAATATGTCATTCTTGGTTGGAAAAAAACAAATTATCCCCATCCGATTGTCAATGCAACCAACACACACAATCATGAAATATTCATTAAAAATCCAATTGTTCAATTGTTCAATTATTCAGTTGTGTTCAACTGTGTTCAATTGTTCAATTGTTTGTTTTTTTGTTTGACTAAATGCTTACTTACTTACTTACTGTTTTCGAATGTAATTAAGTCGTTTACACTAAAATGATTTATTTATTTATTTTTGCATTCTAAAAGCGGTACATTTAAAAATTTAATGAATCGGTTTGTTTAAAATTGTAAGTGTATTTGTTTTTTTTTTCGATAAATTGTCAAATTTACAGGTGTGTCTATCTATACACATACAACAAACAAGGTATGTGTAATATATATAAAATTCACTGGACTATTTTACGACATGATAGTTAGTTAGCCAACCAATTAGAAGTGGCCACTTGTTGATGATGAAAAAAAAAACAACTCTAGAAAATGTCTTCAAGGACGAATGTGTTTGATTGGTTGGGAAATGGCTTCTTTTTCTGAAGCACTATTCTGTAAGTGAAATAGGCTTTCTCGCCTGATTTTTGACTTTGTGATTAAGTAGCCAGTTTGAAGGGATCAGAATATATCACGCTGGGGTTAGGAATGCCGAACATAACACTACTTCATTCAAGTATTTTCTGTATGAGATAAATTTCATTATGAATACTATCCTCAACATATGTATATACGGTCTTATAAACTGTTTTTGTCACCTAATTTCTACTGCGGCTTATGCAATACAGGCTATCGAAAAAAGCACAATAAATCACGGTTTATATGGCCTATGTTCAGTCATCTAGAGTTTTCATTAATAAATCATTTAGCTATCTAAGACTAATTTTTTTAAAAAGAAACTCAACTTTTAAATTACTATTTTCCAGAATTACTTCCTTACGCTTGCTACTCCTAAATGGAGTATAGGCCACTGACCAGAGAATTATTCTTCAGGTTGGTGAGTCGAATTTCTACGGAATTGAGTTGCTAACCCCATGCACAACCTGTAGTGTACCGATTTGGAGGTGTTTTTTACGTTTCGTAATTAGCTCGTTCAGACAATCGTTAAATAAATGACGTCTGACGGTTAATAAATCAGAAGATGAATTCGAAGTATCGTATACGTTTATTGTGGCACATCACAAATAAGGATAGCAGACCACAAGCAGACCGGGTAGACACACTATCGAGCGAATATGCGAATGGGCGAATGAATTAATAAGATTAAAATGTTCGAATACATATACGTAGGAAGATATCTGAGTCATTGTGATATTTAAGAGATTAACATTAAAGCGAGAAGGATGAGTCAGTGCGTAGGCGGTAAGCAATGCTCAGTCGTACAAGCTCATACAAATCACACAATAATAAAAGCCAATTGTTGCAATACAAATGGCTTGGTTAAATAAATTAATCGAAAGTGCTTAACCAAATTAAATGTAAGCAGATGCAAATAAATGTGGAGGCACTACAAACCCTCCTTCTTTATCCGGACTTAGTACTGGTAGTAACTTTACATAGGGCTCCGTGTGGAATTTCTTATCTACACTGATCATTTAAAAAGCTTATCATCTTTCAAAACGACTTATTAGTTAAAAAAGTCAAAACATATGTTCAATTTTTCAAAACTTACTATCACAAATTTGTCCAACACGTTTCTCCATTTCCTTCAGTTTTGTTTCACTTTGTAACACATCACCTTGTAATGTAGTAGTAGTACTAGTTTCATTGGTATAATCTGAATGTGTAGAGAATTTTTTCATTGAACCCGGTTCAGTGATACGTATATGCATAACAATACGTTTAATCATACCTTGTAAATTTTTATAGCGTCTTAATGGATCCAAAGAACGACTTGTCTCGTAATCTGTTTGTAATTGTTCCAATACTTTACGTACTTGTTTCCATTCATTAATTAAACATTCATTTTCTAATTTTAAACGTTTAAATTCTGTTCTTGTTGGATCTTCCAACACAGACATAATCACTTCACGTGTTTTTGCTCGATCAATGTTAAACAGCATAGACATACGACGTAGTTTATTCGACGGGAAAAATGTACTTGTTTCATTTGAGGAATTGATAGTTGTTGTATTCGATGTTGTAGTAGTACAAAGTGATTTACGACCACTAGCTGGAGGAACTAAAGATGATGATTTTTGTACGATTGGTGTGACTGATGTACGACGTGGCAATTTAACAGCATGATTACTATTCCCTGAAGATGAATATGTGTTTGTTGTAGATTTGGATAAATTACCTTCATGCATATTTTGCTTTTTGAAAAAAAAAATGTTCTCGTTACTCGCTGGGGTTATTAAATACAACACATTGTTTTTTGGATAACTGATAACACGTTTTTCATGAAGTCAGTAGTACTATTTGAGTACACTACAAATGTTTTGACCAATCAATCGATTCAGTTAATCTGATTGGTCAATGAAATATCAAAATTCTTTGACCAATCATAATTCGTCTATTTTTGTGTTAGTAATAAGTGAGATCGTTTTCTAGCCACATGTACCTGTAATCTGTGCAGAAATAACAGAGTTTATCAACGGAAAACATAAAACCTACACATGTATTTCAACTCGTTTTTTTTGAAATTTTCATAGCGTTTTTTAAAATTTTTTCAAAATCCTTAAAATGTCCTAATACATTGATGAATGTAAACTTAGAATCAAGTAAAATTAAACGACAGATAAGATATATGGGCAAGATTCAAGTGAATACCGAAGACTTCTTCATAAAAGCTTTCATTGATGAATTATCTTTTAGTGTGTATTTTAGAAGAACTTTGGGAAGATCTTGTAGTGCCTCCACATATAATATTCGAGTTCGCTTATATTTAATTTGGTTAAGCCCTTTCGATTCAATTATTTAACCAAGCCATTTGTAAAACAATAACTTATATGTACCATTGGCTTTTATTATTGTGTGGTTTGTATGAGCTGGTATGACTGAGCATTACTTAACGCCTACGCGTATATGCATCCTATTCGCTTAAATATTAGTCTCTTAAATATCACGATGACTCAGACATTTTCCTTTGTATATATATGAACATTTTAATCTTATTAATACACTCGCACATTTGCCCATTCACTCGCTAGTGTGCCTGCCGGCCTGCCATCCCTATTTGTGGTGTGCCAAAATAAACAAATTCAACACTTCGAGTTTACCTTCTGATTTATAAACCGTCAGACGTCATTTAGTAACGATTGTCTCAACGAGCTAATTACGTAGACTAAGAACACGTAGAAATTGGCCACCACAATCTATATTCAAGAGGAAAACCACCAGCAAGTGACATGGTACTGTCAACACGTGGAACAAATGTAAGTTTGATAATATCCGCAATAACAGAAAATAAAGTTCTGTTTGCTCAAACAGTTTTTTGAATCAGTGAACTCCAATCAGGTTATTCATTTTTTTTTTGATCAGCTGATTGAAAAATGCAATCAAAAATCAATTTTTCAAGAATTGCATTTTTATCCTTGATATAATGCAAAGATCTATCATTCCAAAAATTTTTTTCATGAAAAGAGAGTAAAGGTTACGTTTTTGTCCGCTCATAGTTAGTTATATGTTTAATCCAATTGAATTTGCATTTTCAATAATCACTGGTAAGCGGATTTATGGAATCATTTACAAATCTTATGTACATATATTAAATTCTGTAAATCAATTAACCACAAATGATTTGTTTACAAGGTTATTCGAGGCACATACGTTGCAACTGTTTAAAAGCGATTGCTAAACAAGACTGTAATTAAGCACACGGATGCAAATGTGAGGGCGTGGATCGGCAAAGCAACGGCTACCTTTCTACAATTGAAGATTATCTGGAACTCCAACACCAAAATCAGGATTTCCGATACAAATGTCAAGACAGTTCTACTGTATGGAGCGGAAACTTAGAGAACTACGAAAAGCATCATCCAGAAGATACAAGTGTTTATTAACAGTTGTCTACGCAAAATACTTCGGATTCGTTGGCCAGACACCATCAGCAACAACTTACTGTAGGAGAGAACAAACGAGATTGCAGAGGAGGAGGAAATCAGGAAGAAACGGTGGAAGTGGATAGGATATACACTGTGAAAAGCACCGAAATGCGTTACAAAACAAGCCCTCACCTGGAATCCTCAAGGTCAAAGACAAAGAAGAAGGCCAAGGAACACAGTATGCCGATAAATAGAGAAAGATATGAGAAGAAGAAGAAACTGGAGAGAACTGGAAAGGGAAGCCGAGGACAGAGTCGGCTGGAGTAAACTGGTGGGCGGCCCATGCTCCATTGGGGGTAACAGGCGTAAATAAGTAAAACATTTAAAAAAAACGCTGTGGTTATTTTAAAAAAAGGAGTTGAAATACTCTAAATGAAATTGATTACTTTTACTATGGCATTGACAATGACAATAGATAGATGCAGCTGTGGTGCTGTGGTGCGAGCTACTTATAAGTAGTATATGACGTAAGTGTCAACGTAATGTCTGGCAGCAGAAGATGGGGGGGGGAAGATCAAGAAAGGAAGAGTTAGAACACAATGGAATTTGTATGAAACGCATGAACAGTGACAATGGATTGTTGATGTTTTGCAACAGAGGAACAGTCCAGTTCGATATGATGAACTGTTATTTTGCAAATTAACGATTTACGATATGGTTTTCCTGAGTTTTACTGAGTAACTCTGTAATTTTCGTTAAATACATTTCGGTTGCCCTACCTGTGTTCTCTTTCACTACACAGGTAGTATGTGTAATTATTGTCAGACGCTATGTGTATATCACGCATTTGAACAATTTTCGTTTTTTGCTAATGAATAGGGTATAAAACAAGTTGTTGTTGTTGTTTTTTTTCGTGTGAATAGTCCTAGTGAAAAATATGTTAACAATACATGTTTTGATGATATAAATAGAAATGTCAAACTATGTGTGTGTGGTAAGTGTATTACTGTTCAATGTAGGTTATATATAATTCACAGTGTACTGATTGCATGAAAGTCATCCTTCGGTCATGAAGCATGGGATATTCAGTGGACAGCTAGGATGCAGCGGAACGATTCGGATTTTGCAGATGATCTGGCTCTTCTGTCTCTGACACACAACAACAAATGAAGGCTAGTGTAGCAGTAGACTCAGTAGCAGTTGGCCTCAACATGATACACAAGGGAAAAAGTAAGATTTTCCGATACAACACAATAAACACCAACCAAATCATTGGAAGATGTAAAAACCTTTGCATATCTTGACAGTCTCACTGATGAGAAAGGTGGATCTGATGCAGATGTGGAGCTGCGGATTGGCAAAGCAAGGGCTGTATTCCTACAACCGAACAACATCTGCAACTCAGAGCAACTAAAAATCAAGATTTTCAATACAAATGTCAAGACAGTTCCATTGGCTAGACACTATCAGCGACAATCTACTGTGGGAGAGAACAAACCAGATTCTAGTGGAGGAAGAAATTAGACAGAAGCGCTAGACGTGGATATGACACACAGTGGGGAAAGCATCCAACTACGTCAAAAGACAAACCTTCACTTGGCACCCTTGAGGTAAAAGGCAAACGGGAAAATCAAGAAACGCATTACACCTAGAAATGGAAACAGACATGAGAAGAATGAACAAAAATTGGACAGAACTGGAAAAGAAGACTCAGGACAGAGTAGGTTGGAGAATACTGGTTGGCGGTCTATGCTCTGTTGTTCGCCACCGTCGTGAGTAATTAGGTAAATAATTCTTGAAAGTGAAGTAAATGTGGTTCCCTAATTTTTATTCATTTAGCTGTAAAATAAGAGTTCTTTGAAATAATATAGAACGAATTAGTTTTTATTATCTAATAAGTAGACGATCATGATTATGACCTAGTAGGTAAATTTATGCATGCCACAGTAGTAATTATTATCAGACTAACAATAATTATGTAATTAGACATGAAATGATCCCGGATAAATGTGTTGCAGTCACATAAGTAGACTTAAGATATGTATTTACATACATAACAGTAACTCCTCCTGGAACCTTACTATGGTTACTGCCGGTTCGGGTTAGGCATCGGGTTATCGACCCGATGCCGTAGAAATTCAACTAGCCAAGAAAATGCCAACCAGTAAAATAATTTTACTAGTCGGCGACGTATGCTCCATCAGGAGTAATAGGCGTACTTACTTACTTACTTACACCTGTTACCCCCACCAGTTTTCTCTAACCTTCTCTGTTCTGGGCTTCCCGTTCCAGTTCTGTCCAATTTTTGTTCATTCTTCTCATATCTTTCTCTATTTATCGGCATAAGGTGTTACTTGGTCTTCCTCTTTTCCTTTTTGCCTTGAGGGTTCCATGTGAGGGCTTGTCTTGTGACGCAGTTGGGTGCTTTTCGTAGTGTGTGTCCTATCCACTTCCACCACTTTTCCTGATTTTCTACTCCTCTTCAATCTAGTTTGTTCTCTCTCACAGTTCGTTGTTGCTGATGGTGTCTGGCCAACGAATACGAAGTATTTTGCGTAGACAACTGTTAATAAATACTTGTATCTTCTGGATGATGTCTTTCCTAATTCTCCAAGTTTCCGCTCCATACAGTGGAGCTGTCTTGACATTTGTATTGAAAATCCTGATTTTGGTGTTGACTGATATTTGTTTTTGGAGTTCCAGATATTTTTCAACTGTAGAAATGCATCCCTTGCTTTGCAAATCCGTGCCCTCACATCTGCATCGGATCCACCTTTCTCGCCGATGATGTTGCCCAGATATGTAAAGGTGTTAACGTCCTCCAAGGCATCTCCATCAAGAGTGATTTGGTTGGTGCATGTTGTGTTGCATCGGAAAATTTTGCTTTTTCCTTTATGTATGTTGAGACCTACTGCTGCACAGACTGCTGCTACACTGGTGGTCTTCTCTTGCATTTGTTGTTGCGTGTGCGATATAACAGCCAGGTCATCGGCGAAATCCAGATCGTCCAGCTGCGTCCTAACTGTCCAGTTGATACCGTGCTTCCCTCCAAATGTCGACGTAGTAACAGGCGTAAGTAAGTATATAATAGTGTTCTAACCTAATGATCTATAGAATTTACTTTCCATAAAACATGACAGCCAGATTAGTACATCTAATAATCCTTACTTCTAGAGTTATCTTTCAAGCTGTATTCCATACAGACTGTACAAAACAGAGTAAATACTAGTCCTCTATATATATTCACAAAACATTATCTTTAAGATCAACTTTTCAAATATTTTTACCTATAAACTTTAGCAAGTAACCACAGTAAATCGTTAACTTGGATTTCATTCAACATTGAAATTGTACATATTTGAAATCATCAACCAATTATTGTTAGACCACCATTAGAAACTT